GTTTAGTCCAGTTAAAATCATGGATTAAAATGCATATACAGGATCATTGACTGCTTTTCAGTGTGCTGTATTTGTATGTTGTAAATCACTTATAAAAGTAGTAGTTACCGTATTCTGCCATGACAATATTTGATAATTTTGACTTTTTGGGGCATTTACACATAACATATTTGTTTTAAAATAGTTTGAGTTCATATGTAGAAATCCCTACGCTACCCCCAGAGTGAGTTATATTTTCTTTCTAATGAAAATGACCAGCTGTAAACACATTATTTCACTTGGACAATTGCCAAAACTAATTTCATGGGCAATACTTTTATTTTTAGTTCTATCAGAAAACTGATCTGTGATGTCATAGTCCAATAATAATATGATGTCATTGTCCCACTTTATGACAGTGGATATGTTATAACAGTACATGTCTGTGCCAAATGTTCCCGGTATTACCATTAATGCAACTGAAAACGGGGTAACGGTGGCTCAGTTGGTAGAGCATTGGCCTTTGGGCCTAAAGGTCGTGGGTTCGTGAGTCGTGGGCCCACCACAAGACCTACTTCACGACTCCCACTGATGTCTGCTGAGGTTGTGTCCTTGGGCAACCCACTTAACCCCACTTTGCCATAAGCCCCCGCCGAAAGATCAAGGCTCCTGTGAACTCACCACCAGCAGGAGGATCAGTGAGGGGCTGGTGCTAAGTGAATTGAGTGCAGCTCTGTCTGCCACCCCCCCTCCAGAAATGGATAAGGGGAAGAAAATGGATGGATGCATGCAAAAACAACTCCAGGTCTGTTTCTGATGAGGGAACTGTTTGTAACCATGTTCAAACTGCTTTTAACCATGTTGTAACACGGTTAAAAGCGTAACATTTGTGACATTTACATCCCTTGTCTTTATGTATTTTTTCCTTTCTGATTTTGTGGGTTTCTAAGCGCTAAATGTGCAGTCCACCACCAGATCTTTCCGTTGTTCGGTTGTTGCTGCCTCTGACTGTTCGATCAGTGTGCTAACTTATATAGCTGCAGGCGACTGTAGGAAAAAGGCCATAGCAAGGAAAAAGTGCCTGCCACGGCTCAGAAATAAGACCATTGTGGAAGTTTCTCTAAAAGGTATCGACTTGCAAGAGGTGCTTTAGGTCATTTTTAGCACAATGTACAACTTCAGATAAACTCTGACAAGTGGATAGTGTTGAATGTTGCCTGACACACATTTCTTACATATTCTAGCAGATATTTCAGCAATATATATTAGCAATGGTCAACAACTGTACAGTTGTTCAGAGATAAGTATACTGTAGATTTGCTTTCAGATTAGATACAATATAAATGTTTACATTTAGTAATATCAATTTTTGTATAAAAAATAATCATATATATACATAGTTTGAACACAGTAAATGCACTAATAACAAACACATCAAAGCCATTGGCCCTTATATGTGATAATCTCTGTCTTTAGACCCTCCTACATCGGCAAGAAACACATTTTTAAAACCCAGTGGGGAAAAAAGTGAAAAACCTCGGCAAGGCCCATATCAAGATAAGGATCCACTCCCATGAACGGACAGGTAATAGATCCAGGACTCAGACTCGGTCGACTCCTACAAAGTGTTATACCGAGTACCTATCCTAATACTGACCTATACCACTTCATGAGATATCAAATGTACTAGTACTATAACTCAATATGAGTTTGCCATAGAGAGTGTATACATAATGCTTAGGATCACATGTTTTTTTCCATTAAAAAAATCCAGGTTTATTGCCCTTTCCAGGCAAAATAAATGCTCTATGTTTCTTTTATAAGTATTACCGTTTTTTTCCAAGGTGATCTTTAACCCATGACCAACACCGCACAACTTTCATAGACAGTGACGCCCAAAAACACATCTGACAATGGTCTAAAACTGGATCTTTCTCAGTTCTGTTTTCCATTATCTTTGTTGATGCTTTCCAAACACGAGCCGTTTCCACTGACCTCTCTTTATTGGAACATTTCTGCTCAGTTAGCATGCGTAATGATGCATAGCGCGTCTTTGCATTAAGCGCATCTTTGGCTGGTTGTTTGTGTGAATGTGTGTAATGATTCGGATCCTTTAGCTCCTCTGTAACCACCACTGCAGCAGACAGGGAGAGATTTGTGGAGATTTTTGCTTAATGAGCAGGGATCACTTGCATTGTTAGCGTTAGCTCAACAATGCAGGAGGTGGTTTAATTAAGGCCCGGCTGCTTTTAGAGGATCAGCACTCATCCACACACACAAAAACACACGTACACACACATTCCCACAGCCGCACAAACATACACACACACACACACACAAACCTCGATACACATTCACGTACATGGACACAGACACACATATACGCACACATCATACATTTTATTCTAATCATGGAATTGAAATAATTAGTTATCAATATTAACCATAGTTACACATTTGACCAGCTTTTGGTTTAGAGGATAAGCCCCTAGGATGAAACATTTTAAGTCTGTTTTTGGTTCAATCCAAACTTAACTGAAATCACTTTGTCCAGAATTATCTACCAGAAAAAAAATATTGTTTGAATTTAGTTTATCATGTAAGATTTTTTATTGTTGTAGTTTTTATACAATAATAAAGTCTGAGCAGTGAGTTTTTAACATAGACTGTAAATATGAATGGACGTAGTGACACCTATCTCAGCCGTTTATGCTCTACTGGATGCTGTCCAAAATGGCCGCGAGTGGTCCCGCCCACAAGAAAATTGTGAAAAAAGGGAGCTTTAGGCCAAGAGCCAACTTTCGGATCATCCTGTAAAGACGTTTTCGGGAGGTAAGAAGATGCTATATGTTAGCATTGGCTAATTCTTATTTGGGGTGCACCTCCATCGCCCTGGGGTGGTATTACAAGCATGTCAGTGCACGTCATTTTGGTTTTTAATGCTTGTTTCAAATATTTTTTCTTATTTCCAGACAACTTTTCTTGTTGCAAAATAAAGTGTTATGTGTTTTTAAGAAAACACTTACGAAATAAGTTAATAATACTTGACATGTATGTTTACTAGAATAATAGAATCAAGTCATTTGGGGCTAGTATTATTTTCTTATTTTCAGAAATCAGGTCAAGTCATATAGTCAGGTCAGTCTTTTTTTACATTTTAAGCAGTATTTTATTTATTTTCTTATTTTTTTTCCCTTTTTTTTTCAAGGGATTTTTTTCAGTGCAGACCCGTTTTCTTTGGTGGCCTATGAAACCAGGCAACTTTCACTTTCAGTCAACAACCGATTTGATGCTTTGCAATTTAATGTTGGCTGACAGCTCAAACTACTTTAATGCAAAAATGACCTGACATGATGCAAATGATCAGCTTATCCATAATGAGTGAAATAATACGAACCACATGGAGTCGTGACAGACAGCTCCTCGTCGCAGGGGCATGTCACAGCTCATATTATTTCACACGAAAAAAGTGTGGGCAATGTACTTAAAGCATTTGTCATTTGTTGCGTGGTGTTTCGCGTGTGTGTGGTGCAGGCTGTGGAGAGATCTCTGAACGCAGCGCTAGAATTCAGAGCTGATTCACGGTCACAGCCGGGTTGATGACAATGTGGGCGTCAGGAAGTCATGACTCTACTCCACGATTGTATCAGCTCATGCCGTCCACCCAACAGTACTCTGAAGGTGGGGTCATAGTAAACTTTTTTTCTTATTAAAGTGGTTCACAGTGTATGGTATTGTATCCAAGAGCAGCATCCACTGTTGTGACCGGCACCTGAGCTTAAACCTGATAGTTTATTGATTATTGAAGTAATTGACAATTTATCTAGAAACCAATTCACCTTGTATTGAATTTTTCATAGGCTTAAACATGCTGACTTGAGCTTTGTTTTGGGTCAAATCCCATTTTCACTGACCTCTCAGGTTTTAATCAACTTATCGATTGGAGAGGATGGCTTCAGATCCGGCCGGAGACATGGGTCAACCATATTCTAAAAAAACCTATATTCTAAACGTAATATATTAGTATTTGGATCAAAACAATTGCACACGTTTGAGATTCCAAAACCTCAAACTCCTCAATTATTGAAAAGAATATATTAAAACAACAAATAATAGTGGCCACTGTGTATAACTTAACATGGTCAAAAGTACACTATATAGAATACTATTTCCCTTGACCTTTTTAAATGTCTCCAAAACGTGTTATGTAAATAGAGGGTGATTGCGGTCGCTTGAGGTAACTGAGCATTAACATTGAAGACTGGCTTACTTAAGTGACAGATAGCTCAAGAAGTAAAAACCCCTTACCACATCCCTCTAAGCTGCTGTCACCGTGCTATCTCTTCTTTCTCCAACCATCTCTTCCAATCGTCTACTCTGCCTAAGGACGAGGGGCCAGCGAGATAAGAAAACCACAAAATGATAAGATGGATGATGGGGACTACGAAGTTTGGACAACCACAACCAAAACTGTGTGGCTAAACAAGCTGCATTTTGGAAAAAGAGCACAGGAAAACTTCCTGCGGAACAATGGGGATGTGGAATTGCGCGTCCCTGAGATCCACGGAGGTCACCCAGCCACCAGGTACGATGCACAACAGCAGCTCTTTGACTGTGCGCATGCAAAATCGCCATTTGACGAGGTAGCCCTTTAGGACGCGCAGGTCCACGATGGGCTGCACGCAATTGCTCTTTTAGGAACGATGAAGATAGCTGGGATAAAAACCCTGTCTCTGCCCTAAGCGGGTCTATCCAGCTTCATGTTGAGCGCTGCAGCGTTGTCGGGGCTGCGCAGCCTCATCTAGAGAGTGCCACGGGAAGTAGGGCCAGTGGGCAACTCTATGCCTCTTACTGGGTGACAGCGCAAGGAACGCCATGCTGCGCCACGCAGATCCAACGGCAGGTTCCGAAGGCGCCGCTATCCGCATTCTTGCAATAGCAAAGCCTAGGGGCTGAAGCTATACTGCATATGAAATAGAAATCCCAGTTACCTAATAAAACCACGGTTCTATGAATATGTCTTAGATGGGAGGGACGGCTGATAAGCTAGGCCAGGGGTCCACCCCAGCATAGACCCCACAAACCAGACTAGGGGATTTTGCTGCCAGAGGCCGATCCTTCTCTTGCTTGGCAAAGTTGCGCAGGAGCGAGGGACTGGAGGTAGTCGCTAAAGGAGAGGCGGGCTGAGCCAGCATTCCCATCTGCATCCTGGCAGATGCAAGAAGTGATCCAGGGGATTACGCTCGCGGCGCTTGTCTGCATGTGAACCAGGCGAAGCAGCAGCGGGGTAGGTACACCATGAGTGAACGCACCCTGTGCATCACACATAGTGCATGCGGTAATCCACTAAGGCCCTGACACTCCTCCCTGAGGAGTGCAAGGCAAGCCACGCGCCATGTGTTGCTGTCCTCTGTGAGATGACGCTAACCAAGGCAAGACATCGGATTCGACGCAGTCAGTTTGAGAGAGCGCTGCCGGACGCAAGTCACAGACCGGAGGGTGACAAGATCTCAGGCACGGGAGGAATCTTGCTTGAAGACATCCTAATACTTAGATCGAAGCTTCTCTAAGACAAGCTGAGAGAGAAAGGAGAAGAGCTCTGGTTGAAGGCCCCTGTACAGTATAGGGGACTGGCCTACGCCAGGACGTCAAGGTGATTGGAGCGTTTGATCGTTTGGTCTGGGAAGCTGTGCTTCCGAGAGATATGCAAAAGCGAAGCCTCAAGGGCTGAAGCAACATATGAAATAGAACCAAACTGTTGCAGAGGAGATAGTGACACATGTTATATGACATAGTTTAATGTTTTGCGATTTGTTTTAAGCTCTAAAACACAACTAAACATGTTGGTTCCTCAGTCTTCTACGCTTTCAGGGCAAAAAAGCATTGAAGCCGTTGATATTGTGAACAAATATGACTTTTTACGTAAGTGGATAAATTATTAGATGCAAAATATTGTGCTATTTTCTATTCCGATTGGCACAACATGTATTAACAACATCAAACAACATGCTGCCAAGAATGATGGGGATTCAAAAGTGCTCTATGCGACTCAATGGAGCTGGGTCAACAGATTTAATTGCATTTTGAGTTTCCAAAGAGCTTTCAACCATGTCATATATGTTTTTCATCACGACTTTTTTGGAGTGAGTCATGCTTGATTGAGTAATTAAAATGGGTTTTCATTCAAAATACCAGTGTAAACCCAGATTTCAAGTAATTCTTACTGGGGGGCGACAGTAGCTCAGTTGGTAGAGCACTGGTCTTTGGACCTAATGGTCGTGAGTTCGAGCCCACCACAACCCATGTCACCTGCTCCCACTGATCTCTGCTGTCGTTGTGTCCCTGGGCAAGACACTTAACACCACATTCCCTTAAGCCCTCGCTGAAACACCAAGACCATCTTGTCGGTGACAGAGAATCCATCTTCCTGTGGACCCACCACCTGCAGGAGGATCAGCGAGGACTGGTGCAATGAGGCTTGGGTGGCAGCTCTGATTGCCACCCCCCCGACCCAGAAATGGATTAATAAAGGGGACGAAAATGACATGACATGAAATGACACTTCTTGCTGAATAGTTTGTGTTATCAATGTATTACATATTCCTTGTATATTTAGCTTTTCAATTAGCCATTTAAAACACAGTATTTACAATGCCTTAAACTTGTATACCTTTTGTTCTATTATGGCCACAAACATGAAGATAATTTATTGGCATTTACGTCAGATGTCGGAGCTGGCACCTAGTTCTCAAAACACCAGCCCCTTGCTGAGACTGCAGGTGGTAGGTCCGTCATCAAACACACCCTTGGTCTTTTTAACCCCCCATTAAAAAGCAGATGACCAGTAGACATCAGTGGGAGCAGGTGACATGAGCCGTGGGGGGATTGAACCCACAACCATCATGTCCAGAGACCAAAGCCTTTTCATACACCAATGAAAAGGGTTGCTTTCTCAGAGTGCAACTGAATACTTTTGAAAGCCACAAAAAAATTTATAATAATAATGAAACGGGCATTTGGAGTGGGTACAGCATTTCATTTTAAAGTGTGAATTGCTTCAACATTATCCCTAATTTTTTATCCTTCTGAAAGCCTAGTGATGATAGACAATGAAGAACACAAATGATACAGATTTAAGTCAAAATATGTAAAGCTTTATTACCATAGCGTCAAAAAGGGACCCAGACAGTAATTTCAACTGGCACTCAAAGCAAAAAGAGCTGGGGTAATTTATCATCATTTTCAACGGTCATTACACTAAATTATTTGAGCAAAAAATATCACAGAGCGGATTTGCGAGGGAAATTGCAGTTTCATTCATAATCGCAGCAGTTAGCATTTTCCGCAAGGGACTGATAAATAGAACGCGGCACACTAATCGAAAGGCAAAGAGAAAAGGATGAGCAGTTATGTGTGGAGGAAAAGGTCACTGCTTTTTTTTTTCTGGGGCAGACACTCCGGCTTTCTCCTTTGTGGGAGGGCCGGGGCATGATAGATGGCCCGGGTCAGCAGGGTTGACAGGCAGGTTGATGTAGGAGATGGGAAGAAGGCGAGACCCGGAGTGCATGTTGTGACCCCAGTTTGTTTAGAAAGAGCAGGATTTTTATCTTAATCCAAAGATCTGTTTTCAAACAGACCCTATGTTGTCACACAATGGGACTTTTATTTCTGGTAGCAAGCTAACCTAACCTAAATCTGATTTTAACTCATAATCAGTCAACATAATTATATGTGTGTATGAATGTATGTATCTTGTATGTGTATCTACAAGTGATATTAGAATATCTTTCAAAATGTTATGTAAATATTTTCTTCAGTCTTGGACTAAATACCAAGATTATAATTTAAAATTTTAGAGGAAAATGAGTGTGAGCACAATCAAGAATGTCTAATTGAGGATGTGTTTTGAACCATGTTATCGCCAACATATTTGTGTGTCCTTTGGCAAGACACCTCCAATCCTTGAAGATGAAATATTATTCAGTATTGTAAAACAAAGAAAAAGTAATTGTCTTATGAATCCAATGTGCTCTTTGTGACCTGAAATCTTATAATCAAACAGGTTTTTTTGAGATTTTGAAATATATAGATCTACAATATTGTTTTCCAGTGTGATGCCTTCAACTTTGCTTAAGAAATTTGGTGAAACGCCTCAATGCAGTTTACCAAATGCATAATTACCCACTTTGTTGTAACAGAAATGTAGTGGTTGCTTTGGTGGTTGGAGAAAGGGAGATACATGATGTTGACGGAAAGCCTACACAGACACAGAGACCCAAACTAGTCAATCCCAGCTCTATATTTACTGCCCATGATGTCACTCTCAGGTCACACTGGATTGTCAATCAATCAATCAAAGTTTATTTGTAGAGCGCCTTTCATACACAGGGCAACACAAAGCGCTTCACAGTCCACATCACAAATCATCACATAAAACAAACAACAGAATCACAATTAAAACATTAAAATCACACAAAAGATTAAAACACAATTAAAACATTAAAATCACACAAAAGATTAAAACACAATTAAAACATTAAAATCACACAAAAGAATAAAACCATTAAAACTTTCAAAATTACACAAAAAATTAAACAAAAAAAAATAAATAAATGACAGCAGTGCATTCGAAATGGAGATAAAATCCTTCAGTTGTATGCACAGGCAAACAGAACAGTCTTTAACCTGGATTTGAACATTGACAGTGTAGACGCCTCCCTCACATTTTCAGGGAGATTGTTCCAGATCTTAGCTGCATGGATCTGAAACGCAGCCTCCCCATGTTTGGTTCTCACTCTGGGCACCAGCAGGAGGCCAGTCCCTGTGCTCCTCAGAGTCCGGGCTGGTTCATATGACACCAACATGTCACAAATGTATTTTGGTGCAAGGCCATGGAGAGACTTGTACACAAGCAGAGCTGTTTTAAAATCTATTCTTTGAGCCACAGGAAGCCAGTGCAGAGACCTGAGGACCGGACTAATATGGTCATACTTCCTGGTTCCTGTCAGGACTCTAGCTGCTGCATTTTGGATGTACTGCAGCTGCTTACAGGTCTGTTTGGACAGACCTGTAAGCAGGCCATTGCAGTAGTCTAGCCTGCTGGAGACAAATGCATGGACAAGAATCTCCAAGTCTGCCCTGGACACTATATTTCTAACTTTGGCAATGTTCTTCAGATGGTAAAAAGCTGTTGATGTTATTGATTTTATGTGGCTATTAAAATTTAGGTCTGAGTCCATTATTACCCCCAAATTTCTGACCTTGTCTGAAGGAAGTAGGGAGAGAGACTGAAGTTGACAAATGACGCCCTCTCTTTGTTTCTGGGGACCAAAGACAATGATTTCGGTTTTGTCTGCATTTAGCTGGAGGAAATTATTTTGCATCCAGTCACTGATCTGTTGGATACAGTGAAGGAGCAAATCCAGTGGTCCATGTTCTCCTGCAGTCAGTGAGACATAGATCTGAGTGTCGTCGGCGTAATTGTGGTAGGACACTTTGTTTCTTTGTATTAACTGACCTAACGGCAGCATGTAGAGATTAAATAGGAGAGGTCCCAGGATCGACCCCTGTGGTACTCCACAGGTCAGGGCCACATGATCTGAGACGCAGTCTCCAATCTCCACAAAGTACTTCCTATCCTCCAGGTAAGACCTAAACCAGTCTAGGGCTGTGCCAGTGACACCAACCCAGTCCTCCAGTCTCTGCATGAGGATCTCATGGTCGACAGTGTCGAACGCGGCACTAAGATCTAACATGACCAAAACTGTGACTTTACCTGCATCAGTGTGAAGTCGAATGTCGTTTGTTACCTTCACTAGAGCGGTCTCAGTGCTGTGGTGGGGTCTAAACCCAGACTGGAACATATCAAAAGAATTATTCATTGTTAAAATTTCAGTAAGTTGTTGGGAGGCCACTTTTTCAAGAATTTTTCCAATGAATGGCAGATTTGATATGGGGCGATAATTTTGAAGTCCCGCAGGATCCAGACTGCTCTTTTTTAGGAGAGGTCTTATGACTGTGTTTTTAGGGCCATAGGAAATGTTCCTGACGACAGAGACATGTTTACTATTTGTGTCAGTGAAGGTAACAAACTGCTCAGGACGGACTTCAGAAATTTAGAGGGCAATATATCCAGGCTACATGTGGAGGAGCTCAGACTCATGATTATCTTTTTGACAGTTTCAGTATCCACAGGTGCAAAGTGAGTTAGCTCAAAAAGCTTCTCTGGCTGTTGCATTGTTATACGGGCTGTGGAGGTGATAGTGTTTTTGATTCCTTGTACTTTGTCATCGAAAAACTGTGCAAACTCATTACACCTAGATTTAGAGGAAAATTCTAGGGGCAACTTTACAGGGGGGTTCGTTAATCTACCAACTGTTGAAAACATAACGCGAAAATTGTTACTGCAACCTCCAATAATGTCAGAAAAATACATTTCTCTTGTTCTACGTAGAACCCGGTCTATCTTTAAAGATTTCATAATCGCCCTGGAAATTGGACTTTCGCCACTTCCGTTCGGCCCTCCGGCACTCTTGCTTCTGTGCCCTGACCGAGTCTGCCTTAGTCCATGGGGCCTTTTTCTTACTGGTAACTATTTTAACCGTCACAGGAGCAATGGCGTCCAGAACAGTCAGAACACTGGTGGTGACAGAGTTATACAATTCATCAACAGTAGAGCATGGAGTTTTCTCAAAATTTAGCATTCCCATGAACAGTTCACTTATGTTTTCATGTATGTGTCTTCTTCTAACAATTGTAAATTCAGCTGGTGGTTTGCTAGCAAAACACATGTCAAAAAATACACAGAAATGATCTGACAAAGCAACATCAACTACATTAACATTTGATACATTAACCCCCTTTGTAATTAGCAGGTCAAGAGTGTGCCCCCTGCTGTGGGTGGGGCCACTCACGTGCTGAATGAAACCAAAGGTCTCAAATACAGAAGCCAGCTCCTTTGCATTTCTGTCATCAACATTATCAACATGTACATTAAAATCACCTTTAATAACTAAACTATCAAAATCTGTGCACACGAATGAAAGTAGTTCAGTAAAATGGTCAATAAAATCGCAACATGACTGTGGTGGCCTGTACAGGACAATGAAAAGAGTAGAAGATTGCTTTTGTTCCATTTTAAAAGAAATATACTCAAACGATGAAAAATTTCCAAGGGGCATTCTATGGGAGACAAAGTGCTCTCTAAAAACTGCAGCTATGCCTCCCCCCCTTTTGTTTTCTCGTATTTCGGATTCGAATTTAAAATTGGGTGGTGTTGCTTCTATTAGAACTGCATTTCCTGTATTTTGGTCCAGCCATGTTTCAGCCATAAGCATAAAATCAAGATCATAAGAAGTGATAAAATTATTAATTAAAAATTATTTGTTACATAGAGATCTGACATTAAGTATAGCAAGTTTAAAAATAACGTCAGAGTCGATTAATGTGGTTGATTGATTTCTACAGGGAACAGAAATTAGATTTGCAGAGTTGGATCGTCTAACTGCTGTCCTGTTTTGATTTCGTTTTTTAGAATTAAAAAACATTTTTGAGCTGGTGCGAGGAACACACACAGTCTCAATTGGCCTAAAATGTGAAAACCCTTGTTGTTGTTCTTTAGGTCCCAGAGTCAGAAGGGAGTCAGCACAGTTCAGTGTTTGGACTGGTAATGCACTGCCAGACGGACAGGGAGCAGTGTTTGCACCGTTGTACTCACCCGGTGCTGGTGAGCAGGAGGCGGGGGAGTGCGGTGGGGTCCGAGGGGGCTCAGATGTAAACAGTCACGCCCCCCTCGGGGAACGCTGAACAACATGACGCATGTAGTCCATCAACAGGCTGCTACCGTATCTGTTTGGGTGTAATCCGTCTGGACGATAGGCTTCGTAACGTTTCCAGAAAAGGGCAAAGTTATTCACAAAGACAAAGTTAAAAGAGCTGCATGTAGCCTGGATCCACATATGCACCGCCACAACACGACTGTAGAGGCAGTCACCTCTGTTTACAGTCGGGATTGGACCAGAAATAAAAACAGATAATCCGGAGGATTGAAGGAGGTGGAACAGATCCATAAAATGTTTCGTGACTTCTGACTGCTGAAGTTTCATGTCGTTAATTCCCACATGCACGACTACCTTGGAAACGGTATCAGGCAGGGACTGAAGCAGAGGAGGGAGACGTATGAGCAGGTCTGGTACAGTAGCTCCGGGAATACAGCGAGTGACCGCGTTAAAGAAGCGGACGTGTCTCACGATGGAATCTCCAATAATCAGAGTGGTCGGGGCGAAGAGTGGACGTGGACGCGGCCTCGGAGAAGGAGCTCGGTGGACGGAACCAGCGGGTTCACCCGAAGCAGGACCCGAGCCTGAGCGCCGCTGAACACATGGAGAGGAGGAGCGGGGGTGCTGACTCTCAGCTACAGGCGACCCACGCTGTGTGCTCGGGGACGCTGGAGCGGTGAGAGGGGCTGGCTCTGGGCGCTGCTGCTGACCCGGTGGAGGTGAGCGGTGGTAATGATGGCTCGCTACCCCAGTCTGAGGCTGCTGCACTGGGGTCAAAGAAGGGGAACAGGCCAACATGGCTGGTGGACCGCTCTTTCGCCTGAGGACTGCTTCCTTTAGGAGCGTTTTCCTCGTAGTGGACTTGGATCCTCGAGCAGTAGAGTACGCTGCAGTGTCCATGGATTCTGCTGAGGGGGCCGGGATGTCAGTGGAGAGGGCTGCATAGCGGTTTGCCAGACTCAGGACATGGGCCACGGCGCAGGATGGCTCCTCGGAATCTGCGGGCTCGTTATTCGGAACCGGGCGCTTAGGTGTAGAACAGGAGGGTCCGGAGCTGACGGATCTCTCCCACACGACAGTGTCACAATATGCAGCGCTCAGTGACATAAGCCGTGAATGCTGCCCACCAGCGACTTCAAAAAGTTTGGACACTAGAGATTGTTTCTCATTCAACTCTGCGGTGAGACGAAGGACTTCTTTTCGTAGTTCTGCAATGGTGGCACGGTCGCTCTCACGGAGCTCCAAGGTGAGGCGACTAATATTGTGCATGTTTGAGCCAATTTCATTGTCACTTTCCATGTCCTCGTTAGCTTGTGTTAGCCTCTGTGCTACTAGTGGGTTTCAGTCAGGACTAAGCGCTATTTGCTGAAACCACTGAATTAATAAGATAAAACACTCAGATATATTAAAAAACTGAACAATAAAAACTCTCTCCCCCATCCCTACATCAACCCAATCCCCATTAAAAACCTGTCCCATCCCCCCCCCCCCCCCCCCCCCCCCCCCCCCCCCCCCCCCCCCCCCCCCCCCCCCCCCCCCCCCCCCCCCCCCCCCCCCCCCCCCCCCCCCCCCCCCCCCCCCCCCCCCCCCCCCCCCCCCCCCCCCCCCCCCCCCCACCCCCCCCCCCCCCCCCCCCCCCCCCCCCCCCCCCCCCCCCCCCCCCCCCCCCCACCCCCCACCCCCCCCCCCCCCCCCCCCCCACCCCCCCCCCCCCCCCCCCCCCCCCCCCCCCCCCCCCCCCCCCCCCCCCCCCCCCCCCCCCCCCCCCCCACCCCCCCCCCCCCCCCCCCCCCCCCCCCCCCCCGTTGTCTAAGTTCTCAGATCCCGCACTGTATCTCTGGTCTTCTTTATAGACTAACAGACCGCACACACACACACACCCCCCACCCACACACACACACACACCCACACACACACACACAACACCACACACTCTCACAACACACAACACACACACACACACACACACACACACACACACACACACACACACACAACACACACACACACCCACACACACACACTCATGAGTACAATGTGACTGGGGACATGTATTGTTTCCATGTTCTCTTCATGTTCTTCTTTCCCATGTTTGCACCGGTCTCCATCTGACGTCACTGGATTAAAGCAGACCATAATTAATGTTTCCAAGAAGAAAATCTGACAAAAACATCTCACAAGAAGGACCAGCACAGGGGACTAGGCAAAAATATTATTAGCCTCAAAGCAAGCATGTCTCCACTGAGAATAGATGGAAATAGGATTTGCGATAATCTTGTGATTATTTAACTGACTTTCCTGAGAGTGGAATATGAAAGGAATAGATAGAGCTGCCGTCAAATGGAATATTATTCTGAACATTCTCTAGGTTTTAGGTTTAGAGTTGTTCCTGGTCGCGCAGTGGGGTCCTAAGGACAGTGATGTTGCAAAACATTTCTGGGGGACCAATGGTCTTCGTGTTTTTCAATCACTCCATTTCTTCTGTGTTAGGACTGTTTGATATCTGATCGTGTGGTGAATTCACCGGTTTTGTAAAGGTCCTCCAGTTTTAAACTATGTTGTGATTTAGGCGAGACCAGGAATACATTGCATTGAAATGAAGTTGGGTATCAGCTTACAGTAGGTACCCCATTTTGTTTTAGGCGTCTTCACTCACGATTTTCATGAATACGCAGCTGCATTGAATCATATTACATCTTTCACCACAAGGTGGTGGCAGGTTAAGACTTTATGCGGGTTTTAAAAAAAAAATAGTGGATTATCAAATGCATGACACATGTCATTCTGAAAGAGATTCGGCTAAAAAATCCTATATTGTATAAAAGAACGTTTGTTTTTTCATGAATTTAAGTAGTGTCTTATGCTCTAACTGTGTGTGACGTCTCATTGCGGGTAACGCATGTACATTGAAAACATGGATCTATGCCTCAGGGACTGCCCTTTGATCTCTTCTCTCCACTGATGCCCAACACAATTATTGCCCTTCACAGGTTGACAATTGCTCATACTACACTTAAATTGCCGTTTTGAGAGTGAAAAAGTTGTCTGAGGTGGGATTGAAACCCAGTATCTGGTAATGGCAGTGCATCGACACAACCTCTGGACTATCTCAGTGCAACGAAACATTACACAATAATAGTATTTATGTCAGCGTCGCTGTACACGGCCTTGGTCATCTTGAATATCCGTTGAAAAAAAGAACGAATACCAAATTGTAAAACAATATCTTACAGCGTTGAAACGTACCCACTCGGACGTCACCAAGGGCTGTGAAGTTTTTTTCGTCTTAAGGGCGTTGCTTATGGGGTTATTTAGATTTGGGAGGGGGGATCACGACAAAATACCAACAACTGATTTTGAAACCTTTAGTAGTTCTTTCTAATAGAAAATGGTATTTTAAAACTGTTTTTCTAAATAAATCAAACCCGTCTTAAGGTCTTTAAGTCCGCTTTAGCTCTGCCCAGCGACTTAAACGCTCAGGTTATTTAAAACTGGTTGCCTGCGCGGTTGAAACAGAAATTGTTCTGTCATTTTAATGTTTCCATATCAAAAGTAAGACATGTTGTTCATAAAAATGGCCAAAAATTGCCTATCTTTTGGGCAAACGGATTAAAAATAATGGATTGTGCCAGATATTAAAATGTTTGGTTTCATTTTATTGACATATTTAGGAACTAAGATTTTTAGCTGATGGGAGATTTTGGATTATATGTTTAGTTTTTCAATTGATAATAATGAATGAACCATTCTGTAATTAAAAAACTCCAATTCCGCTGTTTTTTGGGTTCAAAGCTGAATTAATCCGGTAGGCTATTATAAGAAAATCTTGAAAAAACCTTTAAATATTGTTACGTCCAAGACTGGAAAGTTTGGGTCTGTAATGAGCGACTTCAGTAACACTGCTGAAAAGTTAGATTTTTGTCACCCTAAACGGAGGAATCACGCTCTTTTTCGTGGGAGTATCTCAGGCGTTAGTTTTCAAAACACGCATGTTAGGGGGTGCCCGGTCCTCCAAACTGCTGCTCGTACCAATGCTAATGTCCCCTACTTTGCATTATGTTATGAGCGTGCTGGCCAGGCTGCCTCAGAACACTATTCAGCATTGGCTGATACCATACTCTTTCAAACTGTGATTGGCTGAAAAGCACAGTGGGTTATCCCCATGCATTAGTAGTTTAACTCCCATTGGATGAAGCTTACTCCCCATTGGATTGAAATCACTACTTTCAAACTAAGTAGAATAACTCTCGTGATTGGCTGGGCAGATCTGTCACTATTGGTCCACCCTGCCTTTGCGGAACACCTGGTGTTCCGCAAAGGTCTCCCATCCCTCAAGTACTATACCAGGGCCCTACCCGGCAAAATTTGCCTTGCCCATTAGCTTCAGAGGTTCCCTGACAGGATCTGGCATCTGGGGGGTGAGATGCCAATATGGAATTATCTGATTAATAGCAATAGATCATTGTTATCATGTGAGGTTATTATTTTTGAGCATGAATGGATTAAAGGGTTTATCAGCAGAAGGTCCAATTTCCCTTTTGTAAATCTGACGATGGAAAGCTCTTTCGTATCTGAGATTATCTGGAATTTAAAACTGCACAAATTAGAGTATCACTTTCATACATATGGGGTTTTGTAAAATTATTTCATTATTAAACAGTTTAATTTACCTTATTTTTCAGACTATAAACCGCAGCTTTTATTTTGTATTTTGAAGGCTGCGGTTATAGTCAGGTGTGGCAAAAAATAAATGTGTTCTCTTTTTCTGCGGCAAGTGACCTGAATTTATGATATGTTCACGGAGGTATCCATATTTGAATGTTAGATTTTCAATCAAGCCAAAAAATAAAGGTTTAAACAGTCCTCACTTGTAATATATTTGGGTTAAAATTTTTTTTTTTTTTTTTATTTCATGTAAAAATAGTTTTTTGATTTCCTTGTACGAAATGAATGTGATGCACATGTAGATGTCGCCCCTTTCTGCTTCACACTGATAGCTGAAGAACGAGTTAGTGACTTACGTACTTCTTTATTACTCAAATAGACATGATGATCGTTTTTGAGCTACATTTACATTATTACATCGAGGGACCAGTGCGGTTTGTATACAAGTTGTCCTGTGGTTGAGATGACGGAGGACTCAAATGCAGGAATGAAATTATTATAATGATTTAATAAAAGAAAAACAAAACAAAAGTTCCCAAGGAAACATAACATCCATAAAAAACGAGCCAGGAATCAAATGCTAACGAAACAAAGAACAACACAATGGGGGGTGGATACCAGCAAAACAAGGGTGAGGAGATGCACAGGGTTTACATAGATCAGTCACAGGTGCTACACATCAGGGCGGGGGCAGACAATCAAGGCAAGGGGAAAACAGGACAGGTAGTACACTAAAAAACCCAAACCACAGAGAACTGTGTCAAAAAAACTAAAATACAACATCAAAACCCACACCATGACACAAGTATAACATTCAATTTCTTTTTTAAAAAATTGGAGCCATGCAAATTATATTCAGGTGCGGCTTATAGTTCGGAAAATACGTACCAACATTTGCAACTGTCAAGAATAACGTGGATAAAACGCAGAGTAAAGAAAACAGGTTTAAATAAAATGGCTCAATTACAATGTGTGTCACACACTATGGCGTTGTGTTCTAAGCTTTAAGTTTTGAAAAGCCTCAGCTGTTTTGTACAGGAGGAGATCGTACATTCAGGATGTGTGGCCTAGTCAGTTGAGACCCTTGTTGCGTGGTGATGGCGATGGGGGTAAAAGACAAGCAACCACTTCTGCTCGTGCACGACTGGAGCGTATGATGTCGCATTCCTCTCAGAGCTCCGGTTAAACTAGCTGACGTTGTACGTTGGGGAGGTTGTGGTGAAGAGTTGTTGTATAATGTTTCTCAACCTCTCTCAAACACTCTGGGCAAGAAGAGGAAGAGTTTGAGTCTCTGCCATGCTGCTCTTACTGTTCTATCCCTTCCCGGTTTTGCTGGGATTGGTCGGGGGAAAGGGCGACGTCAGTGAAAGACCACCTTTAGGTGAGAGAGACTTTATGGAAAGAGATACCGGCTGACCAGCAGGAAACAGCAGAAAGAAAGGAGGCTTTTAAAGTCCCATTGATGCGTTTGTCCCTGTGGATGACGCCTGGTTCAATAATGGATGTAAGGTCTCGATTCTAATGCAAACAGCAGAGATCAGGAGGAGGGTCACATGGTTTTCCCCACATGTACAAAGTATCTACTCTTTAATATCATGGGGGCATGCATTCAATACATGATGTTTTGCTGTTAGTCTCTTGTTTCAGGCCTACTGCAGTATTTACTGGGTTTCTGTTTGAGGGTGTGTTATCAGCATGGATTGGAATTAAAAAAAAATGAGAGCAGACCACTGCCTTAGAACTCCGCTTGTCCTGATTGGTGAGTCGGATCAACCTTTGGAATCACCTGTTTCCTGGCCCATCCATCCATCACTCATTTTCTTCCACGGTATCCAATGCCGGGTCGCAGCGGCAGCGTCTAGCAGAGGTTGCCAAGACTTCCTCTCCACTCACACTGCTCCAGTTAATAGGGGCAATCAGAGGCGTTCCCTGGCCAGATGAAGAGAGAAAGTCCCTTCAAAGTGTCCGGGTCCTGCCCATGGTCCTACGGAACAAGGCCTGGAGGCATCCCAAACAGATGAGCCACCTCACTGGTTCCTTCAATGCTGTAGGCTTTCTACGCAGCGCTATCCTGTGTGATGAGCTCTCTCCCTTAATCTCTAAGGCAGCGCCCAGCAACTGGGAGGGGAAGTTCATGAGGAGCCTCGGGGTTAAGGCTCTTGACAAAGGTGAGGGAGGGAAAAGGGAGA